TCGCCTCCCGCCTCCCCGCCTGGCTTCCCCGCGCCGGCCGCTCTGCGATTGACCGAGAGCCGCCGGCCGCGGGCTCCGGCCCGCCCCCGGGCCGCGGCGTCCTCCAATAGGAGGGCGGCGTCTCAGGAGGGCGGAGGGGGCGGCGGGACTGACACGGCGGCTCCGCCAATGGGAGAGGCGAGCAGGCGCTGCTGCCGGTGCGGGCCAATGGCAGGCGCGGCTGACTTGTGGGCGTGGCCCCGGCGGGGGCGGGGCCAGGAGCGAGGCGGCGCGGGGCGGAGTCGGCGGGCGCAGCGGCGGTGGCGGCAGCGGCGCCCCTCTGGGTGACTTGGCCGTGAGAAAGTGAAAGGAGCCCGCAGGCGGCGGCGACAGCTGCGTGGGGAGGGGCTTGTTTCCCGGCTGGAGGCCGTGCGCGGTGCGCGGGTGTGGAGCGAGCTGGTTCGCGTGCAGCACGCCGGCCAGAAGTGTACTTTTCCACCGGGGCATGTCTGCTCAGAGTGGCGCAGGTGTCCCGGGGAGGGGAGGCACGGCACGCGGGGACGCGGACGGCCCGGAGCGGGCCTCGGCAAGGCCGCCCGGGTCCTCGTGCGCGAGCGCTCGGGGACGCGCTGGCTGTGGTTTCCAGGTGCACGCGGGGCGCGGAGTTCGCGAGCCGCTGGAGAGGCGCCGGCCTCGGGCGTCCTCAGTGCAAGATGCAGGCGGAGCCCGGCGTCCCGCCTGTACTTAACACTGCGACGAGTAAAGACGTGGCCCAGAGCCGAGATTTTTAGAGCATTCCAGTTAAATTGATACTTGTAGCCGCGTTAGCCGGATCCCTTAATTGATATGTAACAAGCAACGACTTTAAATTACCAAGGGGAAAAGATGTGAGAGTGTCGTGTCGCGTTTCCCTGCCTTCAGATATACTTTTCCCGGTACCCATTCTTTGCAGCTAACCTGTGCTAATCACTGTCACAGCCAAGAGGAAGTGTAGGGATTTTTCTGCTTTCAAGGTAATGGGAGGCAAGAATGACAAGCAAAAAGTTGAGTAAGAAGTGGCGGAGAAAATGATTCAAGAAAGTAAAACAGAAAACTACGTATTGAGCAGTCAACACAGTAGTAATTGTCTAAATGAAATGTGTTTATTCTTTGCTAAGTGAACCCAGACTGGCAAGCCTTGTTGCTAACCAGCTTCCCAGCAGACCTTTCAACTGAGCAAATGTGCTTTCGCTTTCTTGAGGCCAAAAGGGTATGGAAGTTGGAAGTAATTGTGTGGGCAAATCAGATATGTTGAATTGCTAATGAAGTTAGAAGACTGGAACTTAAGTATCCTGTTGTAAACTGGAATGGGTTGCACACTGCTGAACCCTGTGTGTCCTCTCTTGGTAGGTCCCCGAGGTCAAGGCCATCTTGATTCAACCTGAGTTTCTCATTCCATAAAGTCTATTGTTGTGCCCATACTTTTGATGACTTCCTGGTCTCTCTAGAAGATAGGAGACCCAATTTCAGTCCGACTTGTTTCAGGCTAGGGGAGTTTACATGTGTTCTTAGTAGATGAAGCACACTTTAAAAAAAAACATGTAAAAGGGAATATATTTGTTTTATGGAAAAATTTAGGGGGGATAAAAGGAAAAAGGTGTTTGTATTCTTCAAGCTATTTCTCATCAATTAAAATTCAAAACTAAATAACACACCTGGATAGCTATAAAGTAACTGATGATACCAGGATATTAAACCATAAATTCATGAGAAAATTAGAATTTAACAGATTATCTACCAAAAGCTTACATGCTCCACTCTGTGGTATCCAGAGTGAGATCACAGCTCTCACACAGTTTTACAGAGCAACCTGAGAGTACAGTTGCAGCCCTAGTTGCTTCTAACACTCATAACTAGGGTCCATTTTGAGAACTGAAGAGTGTGTCCAGGAAATACAGATGAAATGGATATTTAAGGAAGCCAGCCTATTGCCCTACATCGCTATGACTTACCCAAAGTCCCTGTGCAAATGTATTCTCCACCCCCCCTCCTCTTTTTTGCCCTTTCTAACTTCATTTAAACTATGTTATAAACTTATCAGGCAGATTCAGTTCTCATTGGAAAATGATCCACACCAAATTGTAAATAACGATGACTGGCATCCGAGGCACCATCTTACAGATTGGTATTCTATCTATTGGATCCATGGAAGGTTAAAAAGTCAGTCTAAATAACCTGCCTCAAGTACATTACTCAAACTGTCTGCTCCCTCTATACAGCAGGTTTCCCAAACTAACCACCAAACAAAGCAGCTTGGCAAAGTTCATTGTTTTAAAGCTGAGAGACTACTTTCTCCCCACCTCACACAGTGAAAAAGAATTGTTAAAGGAAGAAAAAAATACTAAGCTGTTGGGAAAAATAAGTTATTGCTTTCTCTCTGACAAAGCATAATTCTGATTAATTCAAGCTTTTCCGAGAGTCCTGATATTTAAAAAAGTGATACAAGATAATCTATGGATTCATGTTAGATATTTTACAAGGGAGCAGGTTTCATGTTTTAATAACATACATTTGACCAGTAACAGTTTGAGGGTATAAATGTTCACAGATCAAATAAAATTTGATTTGATGAGCAGCCCCATAAAATAAATGTGTAGGGAACTACAAGTGAAATCTTTGAAAAAAACCATCAGTGTTTTTCTGTAACAATCAGGTCGAAAAGTAATGAAATTATTTTTTGAATATAAGTTTTATAAGCTTACTTAGCCATGTATAATTGGAAATTAGACTCAAACAGCAATAATGATCAGCTATTCCAAAATGTAACATTTATAACAATTATTAAATGTATCAGTGTGACCTGATTTTTTAAAACTTCTTTAGATACGATCTTCCTATGTTGCCTAGACTGGCCTTGAACTAGAGTCAAACAATCCCCCTGCTACGTCCAAATTACCTGTAAGTAGTCACCATTTCTGGCTTCGTCTTTTAATCTATAGCTCTGTAAAGAAAAGGTACATTAATGAGAAATTCAAACTTCTATTAAGCCCACTACTTTCCATATGTAGCATGCATGGCAATATTAACTTTCTGCTTGTTTGTTTTTTTTTTTTTAAGATAGATATCACTATGTAGCTCAGGCTGGCCTGAAACTTGAAGCCTTCTGCCTCAGCCTCCCAAGTTCTAGGGTTTATAGTCCCATACCACCACACCTAGCTTACCCCCACCCCTTCCTGGCTCTTAGGAACGAGCAGGTTCATGTGGTCTAAAGGGAAGAAGAGGTTCAGAAATGTAGCTGAGACAATGGATTTTCAAACATGAATGAACAAGCTGCAATTCCCACCACAATGATGAACAGGGAGCATTATTTCCTACAGTGTGATTTTTAAAAAATATATACATCTGGGGCCTGGGAGATGGCTCAGCAGATAAGAGCGCTTGCCATGCAAGCCTAAGGACCCACATTTTTTTAAAAGCTTGATGGGGTATATAGGGTGGAGGGCATCTGTAATCCCAGCACTCTTACAGCGATGGGAAGCTAAGATAAGAATCGGTCAGGGGTTTGCAGGCTAGCTAGCCTGGAGTAGTTCTGCACAGCAGAAACAAGAAAGAACGTGACTCAATAATGTAGAAGGTGAGAACCAACTCCTGAAAATTGTCCTTTGACTGCCACACAACATGGTGTGGTATGCACTCGCCTACACACACACTCTAAATATTAATATATGTCCACACATTTATAATTCTGTAGAGACATTATATACCACATCATTCCCCAGGCTATAGATTGTGTGATATATGAACTACTCATTAAATTCCTGAGCTATGATAACCAACATTGGAGATAATTCCATTGGCCTCACAGCCCTGAAGCCAGAGCAGTGTTATAAACTCTGGAGGAAAGGTTCTCAGCTCTGTACAGGCACTGGGGTTCACTCCTGTATTGAGAGTAGAATGAGCCCCACCAGTAACTCAGACCTGTTGAGGGTTAAGGGCAAGCAGGAGCAAAAGACGCAGACTTCCCAGAACGGTTTTTCCCGTGTAACAAGTTTTCAGTTGCCTACTATAAATCAGAGCTTTGATAGCACAGTGAGAGGAGGAGGACAATAGTTCAGGCG